CAAATTAAAACAACTATGAGATATCATTTCACCCCAGTCAAAATAGCAAAATTTAACAGAACAGCAAGCAACAAATGCTGGCGAGGTTGTGGAGAAACTGATGTGTATTTCATGTTGCACTGCTTACTGAAAGGTCAGCAGTTTGAACTCACTATTTGCAAGAACCAGGGGAAGTCTCCTTCTGTAAAGATTACAGCTTCAGAAACCAATGGAGGGTTGGTTTGAGTCAAAATCAATTGCACTGGGTTTGGTTTTGGGGTTTTGCCACCAGTAAGAGTGTGTTGATGGCACAGTGAGTTGACTGATGGGCTGCTAAATGAAAGGTCGGGAGTTTATAACTACCAGGAAAAAGATGAAACTCTCTGTACCCTCAAGATTTACAGCCTTGGAAATGGTGGGGCAGTTTTACTCTGTTCTATAAAACTGCTGAGTCAGATTTGACTCAGTATCATTGGGTTCAGAGCTTGGTTCACTTATCAAGTGAAAGTATGACAGGCATGGGGGGAGAATAAAGGCAACTGAAAGTTACTTTCTCAATGAAGAGTTAGTGAAGCTATCTATCATCATGTTATTAGAAGCTTGCTTGCTATAAAGTTGCTCTTCCTTGCTATACTCAAGGTATCCTTTAAAGTTTAAAAAGAGGCTCTTTTGGGCACTGATTGGAAAAGAAATCTTAGAAGGTCAGAGTAAGCTTTTTGAGGACAGAAGTTCAGATTTGTCCAGTGAGCATAAGGCACTCAATTACAACTTATTAAGTGATAAGTGAATGTAAACGTCACTTTTTAAATACAATAAAAAGTTAATACAACAGGAGAACAACAAATTCTTTTCTGATTCCTATGGGAAACTCACAACAATAGCTTTCAAAAGATTTCTTCTCCAAATTAAATAAACAGGGTCAGTTTGCACAGTCCAGTGCAAAATAAAAATGAGTGACCCGTTGTTTAAAGAGTAAATAAAAAGTTCCACTAAAGTGATTAAATATAAAGCTTTTTTCCCTTTAAAAAAACTTTACTACTTATAAACTGTGGTAACAGTGATGCATGACTACCAATATGCACTTATAAGTGAGAAGAAAAATAGAATTACTGAGTTTACATTTTTATAAAACACAATAAATAACAATTTTAATGTGGTATCTTGATTGATTTTAAGTTAGTTTTGGTTCTTTTGCAAATTCATTTACTAGGTCATGAAAATGTATATTTTTCAGAAATTAACTTTAAACTGATTTAGTTGAGAATGTTGCTAGTTTTCCTCAGTAAATGTAAGATTTTAAATAATGTTTTACAATTTTTAATCTGAAGGAGAAGGTTTTTTATGAATACATCTATTACTAGAATTGCTAAATGTTTATAGGCTGTGATAACATTTAGATAAATTTCAGATAAATTAATATAACATTTAGATCTAATGATTCTCAAGGAAAAAATCTTCCTAAAAAGATTTAATTCTTCTTATATGTGCATGTGTGAAGGACTGAATTTCAATGCAACTTGACTCAAAATTAATTTTAATGTTTCCACTGACATTTCCTGTAACATGAAGAAGTTGTGCAAGAATCCAGAAGTGCCTTTATCATTTGTGTATTATTTGGAACCTTTGTTTATGTATTTTATCACTGTCTCGTCAATAACAAAAGATATTTTTATTATTATTATTATTACTCCAAACGTCATAGAGCTTTTTCTGCCAAGTGCAATCCTTTCTTGATTTCATTTCAGTTTCTAAGCTGGTGGATATTTGGTTTACAATGCAGCAGCAGTCTTTAAAATCAGGGATATAAAACTCTGAAAAATCCTAGTAAATCCCTGATCTGCTTTATAGTAATACCCATGTGTTTGTTTTTACTCCATAACAGTTTACTGACAGAACTTCCAATTTGAGCAGCAGTAGTTACAGTCCCCATGCTCAGATTGGAGAGTTTTGGGGACA